GTATCTTAAAATAGATTTGAAATACAAAGTTCTCTTTTATAATTGACAAAATTGTATTGCCAAGCCTCAAAGTCAAAGGGAAAAACACAAACGAACAAAATATCTTTTAAGATAGCTTTGATATACAACGTTTTCTTTTAATTGATACCATGCTAAGCTTCAAAGACAAACACACAAAAATATTCCTTCAGAAAACTTACAATAAGCCCACATTTTAGCACCATGGACGTGGTTCAGGTCCATCAATGAGCAATTTTTTTAGTCTTTTAAATATGTAAGTGTTTTTAAGTCCCCATCGACACAATTAAGGAAGCGTGCTTTCACCCCGCCTGTCAGGGCCAAACCAGGCTGAGAGTTATGCAAAGTCCCAGCAGAAAGACCAAAATACAGTATAACACGAATAGCTCGAATTCGTCAGGACTGGCCTCAGTAGTTCAAGGGATCTGTAATTCGAGGGATATTTTACAACGATTAAAAAAAAAAAATAACAAATTCAAAACGAGACCGTAGGCACAGTTCGGCGGATGAGTGATTCCGAGTATTCTGTATTCGACCTATCCGTGTTATACTGCACTGTAATTAAAATTATCCCCAAACGGGAATTAAACTCAAGTCTTCTACAAGTCACAGCAAAGCACCTTACCACTACACAACAGATGCTGGAAGTGGAATCAATGAGCAAAAAAAGAAACAAACTGGAACTTCTGCTGCTGCAGGCAAAACAGTGATAAGGGAATGCAAACAGTTCAGGGGTTACCTTCTATAGCACAGCTTTTTTCAAATCAAAGTCAAGAAGGCAAAAACACAGTAACAGAACAAAGTGCAGGTCTCGAGGGAAACTATTCAAAGTGACATAATTTTGCAAATTTTACAGAAGGAAAAAAACTTTCTCATTTTCAACAGAACGCAATTCTAGGATCAAAAACTCACATGTAGAGTAGAAAAAACAAACACAGGCTCATTTTGTAAATCGTTTTCTAATCCGTTGCTTTCATTCTTGTTAAACCAAACAAAGTATCACTTTGAATACTTTTCCTCGGAACAAAGTTTGAGGAAAACTATTCTCTAAAGCGGAAATTAGAATAGATTCATTTGCTTTTGGCAGAGCCATTAGAGAAGAAAAGTATTCCAACTTAAGCACAATAATTTTCTTCAGTTTCAACCACCGGTAGCAATTTTTGAAGTGGGAAAAGTATTTTAACAGCCACATAATAATACTTTTCCTCAAATGTACTCTCAAGCAGGAAATAGAATAATTTTTCTCTGGGCTGTAACTCAGTCATTTTAAAGCTATGTTTTGACACAAGTTGCATCCCTTCTCGGCCGATATGTCACTTAGAAGAGTTTTCCTCTAGACCCGCGAAATGTGGTTCAAATAGTATAGAGTAAGCTATATATATATATATATATATATATATATGTGTGTAGCTAGAATAGGTTGGGTTTTTTTACCCCCCAAGAACAAGAATGATTATATTATTTATATTTTTTATTTATATTTCAAGTCTTAAAAGCACCAGCAATACCTTTAAAAAGAAATTAAACTATAAATGTTTTACATTATACCTATTGAAACAATTTCGATCATGATAGCCCATTGCTGAAACTGACAGTAAGAGAGGTTAGGAGGAAATTGTTAAAAGCTTTCAACACTCAACATCACAGCGGCAATCTCTGAAAGAACACGTAGAAAAATGTCAGTTTGATGATAAGAAAAATCAACTAAAAGAACATAAATTATGGCTTGAATTTGGCCATAATAATGTGCAGTACATGATATGATTCATTTCTACACTCTACAGAGGAATAAATACTATCATCTCATTCACACACTTTTAACTCCATGACCTTTCTTTCTTATAGTCATCTCATCAAATTCTCAATACAAATCATGAAATGTGAGGCGTACTGACAAAATGAGTTACTTCTCGGATTTTAGCCTGAAAATAGACATGTCAAATTTATAGGTTGACTTTTTACAATTTATTTGTATGAAATGACAAAAGACATGTTGTTAAGCTTCAAGAGAATGGCATTGGTATACAATCTATAAGTATGACCATTGTGTTGGTTTTCAGATAACATCTCCATTTGTGGATTGCGAGAAGCAACTCATTTTGTCAGCACGCCACACAAATAGTTATGGTGGCCCCACCACAAGCCCATTGGCAAAGTGCTTACCTCTAATGCTCAAGTATACGGGTAAATACAACCCCACCACCACACTCTCGGATAGGGGATAGGACACTTGGAGAGCTGTAAACTAAGACATTCGCATCTCCTCCACCCCCACCCCACCCCCTTTTTTTTCTCCCCATATCCCTACCTGAGGAGAGTCAGAATTTCAGAATTAAGCATCCCCAGTCTTCTCAGATAAAGACGAAAACTGCAGAAGAAATAAGAGATAATTTCACACATTACAACTCCTACTCCTTGGCAAATGAAACTACAGAGAAGAGCAGGGTGTACCTATGAAGGCAGCCCAGGGAATATTCTGAACCAATCCAAACCCATACTGTCTGTACTAAGGTCAATACTAATACTTGAAAGGACCTAAAAACAACATATGCCTACCTGAGACATAAAGGAGAGATGAAGGACACCTCTTTTACTTTAAGAAGGAAAACTGGCCATGAACGAATGAGGGAATCAGTCATTGGGTGGCTTGTAAATATCTACACTCTGCTGACCCTGAGATCTTGAGAGAGAACATAGATACTACAGGAAGGGAGAGTGAAGGAGGAGGAGGAAGAGGAAAAGGAGGCCGAGAAGGAGCACAAGAATGAAGGGGGGGGGGGGGGGGGCGAAAAGGAAGGAAAGAAGAAGAGGAAGAACAAGACCAACATGATAAAGAACAAGAAGAGATAATACTGACAGGGACAAAACTGAAACAAAAGTGAAAGAATAGGAAAAGAAAAAAATGAGGGCTTTTATTACTTAGAACAGAATTTCTTAGCATCAAAATTCAGGATAGAATTTCTCAGCACAAAAGTTAAGGAAAATTTCTTTTTCAAGTAAAAGAGCAGATATGGTACAAATGTGGGTAGTTAACTAGTTGGGAATTTTTTCTGGTTTTTTTAAACATCCCAGGTACAAGAAAGAATAAACAGTCGCCTACGGATGAGTTGAAGTTGTCCGAGGAGTGGGGGAAAAAAAAAAAGGGATCAACTCATCTGAAGTTCAACTTAACCGTTGGGACCTGTGAAGAAGAAGCGGTGCGGGGACCCGAGAGAAAGATCAACTTAACCGAAGATCAATTCAAACAAGTTCAACAAAAGCAGAGTCGACTGTATATGTATGTATATTTATATATTCTCTTTCACATATGCATTTTCTTCCTTTTTTTTTTTTTACATCCTTTACTCTGTGCATACATCTCATCCTACCCTGGCACTGTCATTGGCAATACTTATAAACACATCTGTAAGAAAAGCACCGAGAAAATAACCAAATTCTATTTCAATACACACAAAGACATAAGTATCAAGACATTTAAACGACATCACAAATTACAGAGCTGATGATGAGGAATTTTATTACTTTTAAATAAGGGTTGAGGTACTCGGCAGAACACAAGATGGATACAGAATTAAAAATGAAAAATATATGATTAAGTAAAATATGTTTGCAACGACTATTATATCATCGTCCACTTGTAAGATACATGTATCCGTCTTACTGTTGTACAACAAGCGGACAATGAAAAATGATAGTCCAGTTGAACACACAACCAAAAAAAAAAAAAAAAACCACAACAAAAAATCCTTCAAGTTGTTTTTAACACCTGAATGTAAGTATAAATGGTCTCTCAATAACGATTTTTGCCGCATTAAGTGCTCAATCAGCTGTGCTGTAATGGAGGTAAAACTGCCGTGTCAAGAAGATATTATGCATACAGCTGATACATACACAAGAACACGAGCACACACACACACACACACACACACATGCAACACACAAATACACGTGCAAGTCATATGATTTCGGGACTGCCAACTAGACAGGAATGTCCCCTTTTAAAAAAAAAAATAATAATTTGTTGATATAAACGGTCATCGCTGTGGAAGATGTGCAGTCAACATATTGTTGATATGGTGCTTTCTTGCTGAACAACATTTTGTCGCTTCAGAACTATTTTGTCCAAAATGTACTCAATAATAATAAATGACATTTACATAGAGCTCAACCTCGATTAGAGTACACAGGCTCTGAGCGCTTTACAATACAGTACAACAGTAACATAAAACGACTTTGTGTTTCGACTAAGAGAAAATCACTCCAAATATTCTTTCTTTTTTTTTTTATAGTACAGGGTTTTACGGCGCTCACAACTGCATAAGGTCATATGAGCGGCATGGGGTGAGTGTCAACAGAGAAGTCTTTACAGGGAATCAGACTTAGACTGCCCACCTCTCTAGCTTCAAAAGCACAAGGTCTGCTTCTACTATCAAGGCACCCCAGAAATAGCTGGTCACAAGAGAGTGACAAACATACAAAAAAAAGTAGAGGGAAATGACAATAGTAAGGATCAGGAAAGAAAAAGCAGCAGTTCCCTGCTGTAGATCAGGCACAGTTATGAGCGCGACATGAGTCAGCCCATTTAGAATTCTACTGTGCTTGAACGAGAAATGGCCTAGAGACACTTCAGTCAGCGGCACTGCCCCAAGGGGGTTCCAAATATTCATCTTATTACTTTACTTACTTTCGTAAAGAGACGCTTTGGACAAAACAGTTCTGAGGTGACGATTTTTCGCATACGGAACATAAATGCAGATGTTTTACACGCCCATCGATATTATTTACACCATTAAAGAGGCCGGCTGCTTCGATCCAGCCAGCCAGAGCCAACCCCGGCTGAGTCAGTCTATATTCTAGAAAGAGAAGAGGAAAAAAGAAAGAAAGAGAAAAAAAGGGAAGCTTTTTCCAAAACCACAAAATGCATTAAAAAAATACCAAAAAACTTATTGGTCAGTGAGCAAGAAAATACAATAAATGCATGATAAAATACAGAAAATATTTTATTTTCACCATATGGCATATGTGTCAGTGCATCAAACAATTAGATAATATTCCTCAAGTCTAATTTGAATATCATCATTTCAGCAAAACCTAACTAAAAAAAAAAAAAAAGAACAAAAATCAAACAAAAAACCCCAAAACCCACCAGAAAATCAAGACTCACATAAAAGGCAAATCTACACAAATCTCCAAATAGAACTTACACCCTTTGTGTGCATTTATCAGTGCCTTGAACTACATGGTAAGTTGATCTGATCACTTTACAAATATGGACACATGATGTTTCTACGTTACATTGCACTAATTTGTTACTAAATGGGATTACACCAACAGAATTGAGCAAATTACCAAAAATTAAAACTGACGAAAAGCACAGAAAAGTGAAAACAGGCTTCAAAATTTAAAAAAGAAACACCCCTCCCCCTCTATTTAAAGTCATTCTTTATTTTCTTTCTCATTAAGTTGTTGATTTTTTTACCTTTCGAACTGACTGATAACTACTTGTTTCTTTTTCAAGTTAATTTAGACCTTACATATTACACAAAGTACATTTATTTATTCATAGTTTTGAACCCCCCTGAAGTCTAATACCACTCCACAAGCGGGCGGTTGGAGGGCGCCACTTGCTGGTCTTACATTTTTGTTTCTCTCTTTATTTCTGTCTGTCTTGCTTGTCACCTGCACTATGTAACTGTCATTGTATCAGAAATCTTTCATTCAATACATTTTGTCAATAACCATTTACTTAGCCTTAAAGTGGTACATGCAAAATGAAGTTGGAAGACATCTCTCTCTCTCTCCCTCCCTCCCTCTCTCCCACTCTCTCCTAGCACACATACAACTACAACACCAATCTTCTCTCTCACCCTCTTACTCACACAAACTCACACATATGGGAAATCAATGTGTAAAACACAAGAACAAACTCACATTCACCAACACACACACACATATACACACACACCCACATATACACACAAAAAACCCAGCACAACAACCATAATCATTGCGTTGTTCACACACACCAATTTCGATGCCAATGAAATATTAAATGTCTATCTCACAATGGAAATGATCCAATTTCTCCTTTCCTATCCCTCCTCCTCCTCAAAACCCTGGCAAGGTAGGAACATTATCATCATCATCATCATCAAGTCATGGTCTTGACAGCGGCACTCAGCCAGTAGGAAAATAATCATGTCATGGTATTGACCTATGCACCCAGCCGCATACATTCACTTCAAAGCGTTGACCAGTGCACTCATCCTGTAAACAATCACTTCACAATCTTGACCTCAGCAAACAATCACTTCGATATCTTGACTTTATCTCTCATCCCGCAAACAATCACTTCATGATCTTGACCTCAGCACTGTAAACAATAACCACTTCCTGGTCTCGACCACTGCACTGTTAACAATCACTTCAAAGTCGTTAACAATCACTTCATGGTAAAAAAACAATCATTCCATGGTCGTAGACAATTACTTCCTGGTCTTGACTTTATCTCTCGTCCCGCAAACAATCAGTCCATGGTCTCGACCTTTTCTCTCATCCAGTAAACAATCACTTCATGATCTCCACCTTTTCTCTCATCCAGTAAACAATCACTTCATGATCTCCACCTTTTCTCTCATCCAGTAAACAATCACTTCATGGTCTTGACCTCCTCACTGATCCTGTCGTAAGCCTCCAGCATGACATTCCTCGTCTTCTCTGTGAGGTCAGTCACGTCCTCGGCGGTCAGGCCGGTGGTGGGGATAGGGGGGAGAACCTCGACCAGCACTCTCCCTGAAACACAAAAGAAAGCAAATTGAAGATTACAGGCAAGGGGGAAAAAACACCACACCATAAAGAAAGCAAATTGAAAAATACAGAGAAGGAAAAAACACACCATAAAGAAAGCAAATTGAAAAATACAGAGAAGGAAAAAACACACCATAAAGAAAGCAAATTGAAAAATACAGAGAAGGAAAAAACA